AGAGAGAGAGAGAGAGAGAGAGAGAGAGAGAGAGAGAGAGAGAGAGATAGAGAGAGAATAAGACAAGGCCAGTGTGTCTTTTTTGATACCACCACCACAAAGAGGCCCAAAAGTCGGACATTTTTAAGTGTTAGTTATACGGGCTTTAAATATTAATCAACAAATAACTTTCTACCGCAACAAGTACCACTCTTACTGCTGTAGAACTACGACTACTACTAATCATACAATCAATACAATCTCTTGTAGACACACTTGCCATGTTGATCTGATGATGGCCGCCATGTGCCACATGTCTCTGCTGAGATTCGGTAACCCAGCATTGTTGCCTTGGACTTAAATACCGTGCTCTGGTTCTCTCAGTTAAGCACACGCGCACACGTGCATCTCTCTCAGTGTGAGAGTGGCCCGAGGAACCAGGGGGCCGCTGGGTAGCAATGGCGAAAAACACTAGAGCTGAGACTTAAATCACAGAGCATGCCGCCGCACTTATTTTGACTCCGTTATCGTGGAAGCTTCACCATGGTGACTAATTGTGCCAGTAAAACACTGGGTTGCCATGCAGAATGTAAAGTGGAAATAAGTTCTTATGATTAAACCCGGTGATCTCAGAGACTTGGCTTTGGCATCGCATTGGTGGAAAGATATGGTATAATACCCCATCCCAAAGTCGTAATTCATACTCATACAAAGGCCTCGTCTGCTTTGACGCTGTTGCTTTTTTATCCGTTTGATACCTTGTTTATTCTGAGCAGAGAGCGTGTCACATCAGCCCCACTGCGCCGCAGACCAAGCCGGCCTGTTCCTTTAGTCCCGTATAGTCATAGCTTGACAATTACGTGTTTTGAATTTCATCGTTTTTAGGACTTCCTTAGAAATGAAAGTTAATTGCTTCATGCAACATAGCCTCAGTCCATCAGGACTTCATTTCCCAAGAGGCTTACCGATGGGAGTGTAGATGGTAATGATAGCCACCCACGACTGCGTGTCTGAATGGAGTGCGGTCAAATCCGGATTCAGACACTGTGGTCAGCCGGAATAATCAAACTCATTTGACTATCATGCGATGGTAAAGGACTTAAAAAGCTGCTGGTTTCTTGTTTTTTTGTTATCACCCTGTTGGAAAGTGCAGAAAAAAAAAACACTGTTTTCAGCAACTGTTCTGGATTTATCCCACAATGAGAAACCGGATACATTTGAATGTGGGAGAGAACTTGATGGAGAACAGAAAATAACTGATGTTAAAAAAAAAATGAATGAAACAGGGGATCCAGTTTTTTTGTTTGTCAGAGGAAGTGTGGAGAGGACGAAAGGTGGACTCTTGTCCTACATTCAGTATATTCAGAGGAAGACCTGTTTGAAGTTACAGCCATGGAGAGACAAGGAAGTTCTCCGGACCCAGAGGCCAACTGAATCCAGATGTCCGAGCATGTTCACAAGGTGGAGTCCACTTGTACAGTAGTTGTTTTTCCTCGTTCAAAGGTTCTTCGGTCGCTTCTTTTTATTCCATTTTTCCTGGCGGTCTCCCACTCTCTCTCCCCCCCCCCCCCCTTTTTTTTTCTTTCCTCTTTCGTGTTCTCGCTCTGTGTCACTCTCTTGGCAAATAAAAATACAATTTTTTAACAAGTACGGAATGTCTTAAAGATTTAATGATCCCGTCAGAATCCCTTTGAAATATGTGCATCCAGCCATGGTGCTCTGGAGAAGTATAAGACAGAACTTTTGAATTTTCTTTTATTTGCTTCCTTGAGAAAACTTTTTTTTTGTAGTCCCCCCACCACCACCACCACATCTCACAGAGAGTAAGATTAAACCGTGGTATTTCTGAGCATGATCATTTTTATAATAACATTATGTAATGCCATGTAACCTTAGCCTGTGGGTACATCTTGTGGTGTAAATGTCTGACTGGCAGGCGAGCAGGCCTCAGACCTCACACTGGTACCCACTCGGGGGCCCCACAGGCTGAGGAGACACCGAGGTGGAACTGAAGCTATCACTTCTCGACAAATCAAATGCAATTTTATTTTCTTTTGTCATGCTCTTCATGGTCCGTCTCTAGTGACTCCTTCTGACTGCTAGTCAGACTGCAGCTTGTCGCCCTTCACTTTGCAGTAATAATCCCTAACAGACCATTACTTGCCGTGTCTGTCGGCCTTATTTCCATCACACGCGGCCACGCTCTCCAAAGCTCAGCTAATGGGCCGCAACTTTGAATGCTATGTGTGCGGGAGCAGCTCTGATCACGGTGATCGCAAACAAGTTGTGCCTTTTGCTGGCCGGTGGGGAGTCCCCGTGTGTCACAGACAGCGGTCATATTAGTGCAGCTGTTGAGGAGGACATGACTGTTGTTATCCTTCTGTCTGTGTGCTGGGAGGGGCTGTACGCACACACACACACACACACACACACACACTCATTTGGTAACAATCACTGTGCTGAAATAGATTCACTACGCGAAAGGTCCTTTTATGAATGAATATGTTAGTGTTGACGTAAAGCAAGCGTATTTTTTAAAAACTACGTGATAAATTTGGTTGGCAGTCAGCATACGCAGAATTGTAACACACTGTGGGCTTATCCTTAGTTTTTTAATTTCATGGATGTGTGTGTATGTTGTGGGGGTGGGGTGGTATTGGCTCCCTCACTCTCCTGTCTCAATTTCTGTACAGTTGCTGCTGCTCCTTCATGTCCTGTCATGCTTTTAAGCTGACATCACACCCCAGAGGAGAGTGTTGTGTCCAGAACAGAGGACACATACACATACATACACACACACGCACACACACACACGCGCACACACACACCAACACTAAACAAGGCATTTTTTTACTTTTACGTCCGTGTTTTCGACCCCGTTCAACCCCTTTCACAATGTGTTTCAATTATCATGAAGGCGTAGCATTTTGGTCACTTTAAAATGTCTTTTCTCTTCAGCGTTGGGTTGTACTTAGCTCCACCCTCCCATGTCACTTCAAAAAAACAACATGGCAATGGCCAAAAAACATGACGGCGACGGACAAAATGCTGAACAGGAGGCTTTAAAACGTCCGTCCAGAAGCTAATTAATGACGTCACGGTGAATACGTCCACTTCTTATATACAGTCTATGCTTGAAACTAGTGATTGAGAGCATAAACTCATGTTTGAAATGTTAACTGAGGGTAATAAATTGAGTGAGAAGTTAGGCCATTTTCTCAAAGGCCAGTAGAAAAAATACAGGTTTGAGGCAGTTCTGCATTGGCTTCACTTTTCAAACTGGCATGTTGCCCCTTTGTAATAATCAAGATCGCCCATTTTTCTGTTTCTATGGGATCATTTCTGATCAAAGTAATAGTTACATCATTTTCTAGTAGACTAGAAATTGGAGAGAAAATGGCAAGGGAAGAGAGTCAAAGAGTTTTTCCAAATTTCATTTATTTTCCTCCCCGCCCTTGCTCTACCCTCTGTCGTTCTGTCTTTCTGCTCTGTTACAGTACCTTGCTTAGTAAGAAGTGGCACTTCATTGGCACTAATCTCTGCCTCTGCACTGACATCACTGATTGCTTTCCAACTTCATTTGCTCTCCAGGAAATGACATAAGAACTGGATGACTCAACTGGTGTGTGTGTGTGTGTGTGTGTGTGTGTGTGTGTGTGTGTGTGTGTGTGTGCGGTGGGCTGGTGGCATGTCAAACACTGCTCCAAAATCTGGAATTTACAGTGTTTACAATTTACCAGAGAAAACTGATTGCAGTTGCCTGAGACTCATAGCAGGGTTCAAAACAGATACATCCGTGCACCAAGTAGATCTCGTAAGAAGAATGTTTATTGCTGTGTAATTGCTGTGTAGCACCAGGCTCGCCAACCTAAACACCCATAATGCATTTACAAGCATGTATGCTGGTAGCATATAGATATAAAATATAAAGCTTGGTCCTTGAAACGTTACACAGCAATACAAATCCTTCTAACGGGAGCTATTTGTTGTGTGGATCTATTTTTTTTGTTTTATTCCATCCAGTGTGTCTTTCTCATCATTTCTAATTTTACTCTGTCTGTCTCTCTGTTTGTCTTTGTCTCTCTCTCTGTAGACAGACAGAAGTCTTCTTAAGACAAACTTATTGGGGCAATGACTTCATGCACAATCATATCCAACAGCATTATAGGGAAACTTGACACTGGTTTCTCAGCCTAACTTACTGATGCACTCAAGCCTTAATTGGTTCAGATCCAGGGTTTGGATACGCGTTTGCATTTCGGATGCCTTACCCATTCATTTCACGTCATCAATGATTTTCAATATTCCTCTCACATAAAATGTCATCTGCCCGGGTCCTTTCTATCTCTTATCTTTGTGTTTCTCTTTTGCTCTCCTTCCAGACATGTTCCAGTACCTTCTATCCTTCTCTCAGGGCCACATGAGTTCTCTGTTGGAGGGAACCTACTCCTCCGTGTCCCACCAAGCCCTCCCCCACGTCAACCAGCTCTTCTCCTCCCTCTCCCTCTACCTCCGCGGGGCCAACGTCTCCGTCGAGGCCTCAATCCACCACTTTTTCAACGACCTCTTCCCGCTCGTCTACACGCGGCTCATCAATCCAGGGCTAGAAAGCAGCATGACGATGGGCAGCGAAATGGACGACTGTCTCCGCATGATCAGGCAGGACGTCAACCCCTTCGGGCCTCATCCAGCCGTCATGGCCCAGGAGCTGACCGGGGCACTGGGAGCCGGGAGACAACTGGGCCTGGCCCTGGAGGAGGGTCTGGAAGTGATGAACGCCACCGAACACGTCGGCATGAGCAAAGAGTGCGTGAAGGGCCTGGTGAAGATGGTGTACTGCTCTCACTGCAGAGGTTTGACGCTCATCAAGCCCTGCGTGGGCTACTGTCTGAACGTGATGCGAGGCTGCCTGGCCAGCGTGTCCGAGCTGGATCAGCCTTGGAGGCGGTACACCAGCCTGTTGGAGCAGCTAACCCACGCCATGGCCGGGCATCACAGTCTGGAACTAGCCCTGCTTGGGGTCAGGGGGCACGTTACTGAGGCTCTGCTCTACGCACAGCTCCATGGTCCACTCATTACAGCCACAGTAAGTCATGCACTACATCAGCAGCTTTCGATGGCACGTGCAAAAAGGCTTCCAAACCTTTTTTGTTTAACTTCTTTGTTTTATACATCTACTTTGGCAATATTCAATGTATTGATTGGAAAGGTTTTGCGGGCTGCTTGTGGGTTATGAGCTAGTTTTTTCCACCAGTGCAACAAAGAATCCTGCACACAGCATTAATGTTTGCACAGTGTTTCAAACTATTCAGAGAAAAATAATATTTATACAAAAAAAAAGTTCAGCCGCCTTCAAAGAAATGCAGGCTGAGCTGAGGCTAGAGAAGGACTAATTTTGGCAAAATGGCAAGGCAGCTAAAAGTCACCGTTATTGTTTAGGTTCTGACTGTGGGCGGATATTATGAATTGCTCATTGACTATGATGAAAATAATAAAAGTAGTGGTTAAAATGGGGACCGAGTGCACTTGCATGCTGTGAGTATTACCATGTGCCTCATGTTATATGATTTTGAGCTGGATGTTCACAACACAGAGGGTTTCATGGATGACTGCCAGACATTTCCTAAAACTGAACAGTGCAGTTAAATCTAGAGTTCATATTCTGCTTTGTTTAACAACGTATCTCAGATTCATATTCTTACGTATGTTCACAGCAAGCCTTTAAACTACACTGAATAAACAAAAAAATCCATTTAGAGATGGCTGTAAAAGTCAATATCAAATCTTTGTAATAGTTTCCTCGTCTCACACTTATCCCTGCATACAAGTAATATATAGTACACCGAGTACTAGTTATTTGCATGTCATTTGCTTTATTTGAGATACCATCTGAAATCAGCTTTTCCTGTGAATACAGTACACCGTGTTCTCTATCTTCACATTTTCAGCAATACCCTTCTTCCTCTATGTAAGGTGGGGTCGTGCATGTGGGTGTACGGTAACGTGAGTCATACCCCGAGGAGCAGAAGGTGATTAGCAGAGATTTATGTGCATCATCAAGAGGACCATAACAAATGTATCACTTGCATTCAGTCCCCATTGCATCTCCCTCTCTCCCTTAACGTACAGGCATGGTTGTGGATACAGTGCATGCACATACAGCGCATGAATCTATAAGAGCACTTACACATGTCTCTCCCCCCCCTGGGCACGAGCTGGAGAGTTCTGGACATCATAGTTCCACTACCTTTAGTGGGCCCATTTGCAGTTCTGAGTAGGTGGCTGGACTTGAATTTCGCGAGTTGTGGGAATGATCTGTGTTATTTATTTTTTTTTATTCTCCCAGTCTGTGTCTCGATTATCCTCATCCCCACCTCTCTCCATGACGGGTTACAGATATTTTTATATATCCTTTCATCACCTTGAGCTACTCTGTTGAACTATCTGTGATGAACTGTGTTGAATATGGGATCAGAAAAAAGGAAGACCAATACTTTAAATGTTGATAGGGTAAGGCCTATTTACGGTGCAGTTGTTCCTTAATCTTTAATGGGACCACTTGTTGATAAGTCTACACTGGTGTTGTCTTACATTAAACTGTAAGACAACACCATAGAAGCCATAATGTGCAAGCTGTTCGATGATTAAACTTTGACTTGGCTTTTTTGTTTGACTTAATAGACAGTGCAGTCTTCCAATGAACTCGTCAATTAGTCTAGTAATTACCCCTAAGCGTTTCGCAGAACTACGGTGGCCTTCAAGTAACAAATAATGCAAATGACCCTCTCCAAAGCAAATGTTTGGTTTGTCCGATCTGGGCTACTATAGAAACATGGCGGTGCAATATGGCGGGCTACATGAAGAGGACACAGTTCTTAGTTTCAGGTGGTTATACACTCAGGTAAACACATTTCTGAATATTATGTTCCTTTTCTGCTAATAGATCCCCCGAAAACCTACACACTGATCCAGACAAAGTTAATATCATCCCTCCATCCAACTTCTGGCAAGCAAACAAGCAGACCCCTAGCCCCTGGTATTACTAACTGTAATGCAATTACAGAATTTCAAGTTCACTTACATTACTCATTACTGGAAAAAAAAAGTAATCACATTACTGTACTTAACCGAAACAAATGCCTGCCTGAAAGGTGGAAAAATATATTTAAACATGCAATTCGGAAAGTGGTTGGCAGTAACATCAAAATGTAAGTAATTTGTTGTTCATGGCCTTCAACATGCAAAGCACTGTTGTGGTCCCATTAAACACACACACACACACATCCAAATGCGTAGACACTTACTGTACACACACAGACATGCATGTGCAGACAGAGCAGGGTTGGTTGCCAGGCTTAAAGACTGACCTAATACAGCTATGCAGAGAGAGAGAGAGACGCAGCTTGTGTTTCGTGTGTGTATGTACGCATGTGTGTGTGTGTGTGTGTGTGTGCCTGCTTGGTATTCATGGGGTGACAGGCAAGCCTGGAGCAGGGAGCCCGGCGCGGGGACAAATGGGATGGAATTGAAAGGATTCCAGCTAGGCCATACAAACTAGATCCAGCCAGCTGGAAAAAAAAAAAAAAAGGGTCAAGAGAATTGTTGCAGGAAAAGGAGGTGTCCCCCAGTCGGACACTGGTGGCTCCCGTTTGCTGTGCTCTCGACGCTTCACGCAGGCTAGAGAGCAAACATGAGCACGCACGTTTACTCGTTCACTTTAGGCGCTCAGACACACACACTTAGCCACACACAGAATAACACACAAGTTCTATTGGCATGTATTACCTGGATCTATGGCCCTTTTAAAATCGCAGTCTGTTTTTATAAAGCCACGGTGGCCTGTCAAGGGAAACCGTTAAGTCTCCAGTGCACAACTACTGTGTCTGCGTAGCCGCCTTCACCCTTACACCTCCATATATACACCCCCCCCTCCCAGATGAATTCTCAATTTTACACACCTTTTTTTGTTATTTTCATACATATTATCCCTACTATCTTACTGCAGAGCAAAAAAAAAGTGCACAAACAAAGTGCAAATACCTTGCGTGACCTACTGTTATTACTTGCACTCTATGTGTGAAGTCGAGAACAAAGAAGTAACTCTTTTGTAACTTTTTTGCCGAGTCCGAATATTATATAGAGTTGTTATTAAAGGAATTATTGTGAATGTGTGGTTTTACACGGGGATATTATCCCAAACCATTTTGTGGTTGCTCTCTCTCTCTCTCTCTCTCTCTCTCTCTCTCTCTCTCTCTCTCTCACTTAGAGCGCTGCAGACTACAGAGTCTGCACTATATGCTGCAGTACGTCATAGGGTAGGACCCGGGTCATAACACATGTATACTGTACATATACACACACATCACCACACCGTGTGCAGGTATCAGGTTTTTAGAAGTCCTGCAAGGAGCCTGGATGTGCGGCCCACCCTGTGACAATACCAGCGCCGCGCGTAAGCGTGAAAGGCAGCCATTGATAGTCATGTGGGGCAGCAAGAGGATAGATTCCGTTTGAACACATTCCTGCTCTTATTGAGATGGAGCGTGAACGTGGAGCGGAGGGAAGTGGTTATGGTTATGGATATTGGGGGGGGGGGGGGGGGTGGATTATGTTGAGTAGACACAATTAAGCGAAAAATATCCTGTAAAAGTGGCCGCTCTTATTGGGCCCCTGTGCCAATGGTAGCCTCCGATGTTAAGTGAGGGGTTTCTCCCTCTGAATGCTGCCCTGTTGAATTCACATTAGAGTTTCTCCCTCAACCGTGCCGGAGAGGCCGCAGGCTGCTGTTTATTGACACGGCCATAAAAAATGATATGGCTCATATGACCTAGAGGGGAACTTTATGTCTTCTGCTTGCCAAAGATGAGTAGACTTTAAATCGCCTACACACAGAAGCATGCGTTCACTCACACCTTCACGCCCTCACTCGTTCATTCACTCTGAGAGCTTCATAGTCTGCTTATGAGAAAATAGTCACCGTGGTCCAGATTAGAGCAGTTTATATGCAGGTCTACCTTATCCGCTTGTTGGTTTTACCCCAGCTTCTCATTACAGTCTTATGGAGGAATGATAATCGCAGCCTGGGCCTGTAGATAATGGAAACAAGGGCCAGTGGCATGACTGGAAGCTTTCCATTCACCACGGCGGCACCTCAACAGACTGCAGGGGCTTACATTATTTTGCTCCATCCCACAATAAGATAGAATATCATTGGTGTGAAAACAAACTTTTTATTTTGCTTTCCCAATCCCATCTCTGCAACCTTGTGTTTTATATGATAAATATGATAATATACAGCAAACAATGTGCACCACCAGATATTTCTGCCGTACCGTTAATACTGTGTCAGGCCTGTATGCTTAAAATATATGACCACTTAACAGTTGTACTTAAATCTATTCGACATAAAGATTACAAGCAGTAATAAAGAGCTAAGTTAAAGACGCCCTTACAGATAGATCAAGATTTGTTTTAATCTTTACTAATCTGTTTAAATGAGTTCTCTCCAGATGATTTAAGTGGGGAAGACCAGAGGAAATAGAGTAACCAGATATTTGTCAGAATTACTGACAAAACTACTTTCAGGCGATAGCATAGCTGAATGCTACTGACGTCTTACCAGTTATCATTGTGAAAAGTTCAAGGACATTGCATTCCTGCAGTTTTAACGTAGATCAATTCCGTATTGTATCATTGTGTTGACATGCAATGTTATGTGTAATTGAATTAACGTTTTACATGTTGTACTTGAGATACATTCTGACATCAGCTGCTGAGCCCACCTCTGAAGGTCACCTTATCTAAAAGGATTAGCTACGCAGCCTCAAGCCTTTACACGCGGTATGCTTTCTGTATCTAATATTTGAGGCCGTTAGCAGAATGGAGCTGATGCAAAATGCGCTCATGGCCCAATCTATACGCTTAGCCCATCTTTCTGAGTTGGGTGCGCCTTTGGCACGGTGTCCAACCCTCAAGCTGACTGACTGACTTACTCAGCAGTCCATTAGCTAATGATGGGGGGGGGGGGGGGGTGCAGCCTCTCTTCTCCTCAGCACCCATGTGCCTCTTTTCCAGCTCCTCTTCCCT